TTATCTTCATATTCATCTTCATCTTCTTCCTCGTCTTGGTCTTCATCGTCTTCTTCATCTTTATCCTTTCCTTTATCCTGATCTAAATATGTCCATTCTTTTCTTCATTAACATATTCACCCCCACCATTGTTATTAGGTTAGGTATTTAAATTTTCCTTCCTCTTTGTCTTTATATTTAGGTTTCTTTACTTTTATTTTAATTTCTGTATTTATCCCTTTCTTCTTCTCCATACTCAAAACTATCTCATCCTTGTTTGAGGCTAATCTATTCATGTACATACATACATACATCTTATTCCTAAACTGCTGCTTAGCACGTTTCTTTAATTCACTATCAATATTAAAGCATACATTTAGGAGGCATTTCCGCCCCAACCATGTACATGTATGGCATTGGTATTGGTGTGACTTTTGAATTGATTTTTTCGCTCTATTTTAAACTAATTTGAAATTTTAAAAATTGCCTGCACATCAGCATCAAAATACCTTTCTGATGATATATAATTGTTTATACCTTAGAAGTACAGTTTAGCCGTAAAAGGGGTGTAAAGGAAACATGATTGCCTATTTATATAATTGATTTCCCAAAGCTGATATACACAAATATGTATGTATGTATATAAAAAAGATCATTGTTTTCAGGTCGGAAATTGTATTAAGTTTAAATGTAATCGAAAATCAACTGTTCTTTAGAGTTGCTAGTGTGACAAGTAGTGCATGTGTATGCGCTAATATTGATTTTAATTTAATTAAATTATGTACATGCACACACGTCTACTAAGTATTTGCACAAATAAACATCTACATACGTAAAGCTTTTAACTGCAGCTATTCTTTCTATGTTTATACATACATACGCGTTGTATTTCTTTTATCTTTCGAAATAGATGCCTTGTTATGGCATAAAATGTAATTAAAAATATAAAATGATTTGATAAAGACTGTCAATTGAATTAAATACTGACCAATAACAACTTGTAATGCGCACATGGCGTATGAGTAACATACAATCTACACACTGTAAATTAGGGTGGTCCTTAAATGTTGCAAGCAAAGTTTTACATCAGACTTCCTAAGCCTAAACTCCTATGTCTATGCTACTCTAATCAAAGATATCACTTATAAATTTTTGGGCCCCATTGGAGACGGTTAAGGCGTGGTCCGATTTGCTGCAAATTCAAAATTCCTGTTACTAATATCAAGAGAAATATAATAATAATAATAAATTGGCGCTTACATATATGTTAGTGTTTGGCCGAGCTTCTCCTCCGATTTGTGGCGTGCGCCTTGATCTTGTCACACAAAGCGGAAGGACCTACAGTTTTACGCCGACTCCGAACAGCGATTGTATTTCAATGAGAAGCTGTTTTTCATGGCAGAAATACACTCGGAGGTTGGCCATTGCCTGCCGAGGGACGACCACTGTTAAGAAAAAACTTTTTTTCTATATTTTTTGCGATGTTGCTTTGACCAGGGTTTGAGCCCGGCGTTGCGGAGTGGAAGCGCGCACTGCTTACCACTACACCACAGCGGCCGTTTGTTTAAAGTTAATATTAATAATGTGATCAACTTCAGAGTCTCGTCAGCTTCTTAGAACGCTTTGATCAGCTTTCTTAGAAAAAGACGGTATCAATTTGGAAGGAGCGTATAAAGTGTGAAGTGTGTGTGAAGAAGTTCTTGGTAAATGCGACGAATATGCTTTTCCATTGATTAACAAACTTCTCCGCATTCTGGTCACACTTCCAGCTAGTACCGCTACTTCCGAAAGAATTTTTTCAACCCTTCGCCGGACAATAGAAAGATTCGCAGAAGGAAAGCGCAAAATGGAATATGCAATTTAAATTATTACAATAAAAATTGTGAATAAGTTGTTACGCTACTTAATTACATCCTTCATTTTACCAACATTGTAAGCAAGAAATAAGTATTTATTTGTACTAGTATCGCCCAGTTGTCGAAATTCGACATATTTTTTCAAACACTTTCGAATTTTACCTGTCACCAATACTAATTCTTTTATGCGAATTACTATTTTAAAGTCCACCAGCATAATTTGTAGCGAATTTACAGGAAAACTTAAAATCGAATTATAAACGATTGATTAATGCTGAAATTACCAAGTCTCCTCAAAATTTCTTCAGTAGCGTTTGAAATTAGACCGCAAAAGGAACCTCGAATTTCATTTATAAAAAATATGCATATGTATTTGTATGTATAGATGAGATGCTCATCACTGACTAATATGTCAACCATATACCAATTCAGACTGCAAATAAGTTTTTCGATTATATTTGTCTGAGAGCCTCTTGGAGGTTCAAAACTAAATTGCCCACATCTACATAAACTCTTCCTCCTTTTTTCATCAGAGAAAGTATCTTGAAGGTTTACAACAAAAGATAATATTTCCTTCTATAACGGCGGTTTCACACGGGTTTTTGTCACGGGATCATCACACGACTGGACTAACAAGTTACACCAAATGTTATGTTACTAATAAATGTTCTAAAAGTGAAACAAATTTGATCATTAATATGATTTTTTAGGATAGGTCCCAATCCCTGTGCCACCTATCGGAAGACAAACACACTGATCCTTCTAAAAACTTTTGCACAAAACACCAATCATTCAATGCGATTTTAAAATCTTGAAGAAAATGGTTCCCAATTGAATGATTGTTACGATTTTATATGTGTAGGTGTATAAAATTCCGTTACCTTATAATAGGCCAGATAAGGTAAGCGATGCGAGAATTTCAGTTTGTATGGGAAGTGCCACGCCCACTTTCCCAGTACCTACCATTTTTCACCGTAAGTAGGGTATTTACAATCTATGCACCTGTGCTAAGTTTCAGTTCCCCAGCATAATTGGTTTTAGAGATATAGTGATTTTCACATTTTAGTCTATATGTCAGATGCCATATGGATTAAAGGAAGTTATATCTTTTAAATCGGTGTATGTTTAATTGAAATTGAGCGTACGGAACCTTCAAAAAAGGGATTGCAAAGTTTTTTCTTGTGGCGTATTTATATACAGAATATATAGATATATTGAATTAATAAACCCAAGGTATAACTTTACATCTTGTGTTTTTTTTTAATAGTACATGCAATTGTTTTATTAGACCTTGCACCAAATTCACAAAATGAAAAGTAATATTATATCACAAAACACTTTACTTCCCACTTCATAAAAAATACTCGAACCTATATTTGCATGAAAAATTAATTAGGGTTAGATGCCTGTAATGTAACGTTACTTGAAAAGTTGATCTAAAAATAAATAATATAAAAAAAA